CTGGTTCGACCGAGTCGGAATTCAAATCAATTTAATCTCTTCTTCTTTTTAATTTCGATATTCACCTATTAAATGCATGTTCTTCCTCTTTCTCTATCGTATTCACATATTACATGTATGTTCTAAAGCAACAAACTTCTGTGAGTATGTCGTAAATGCAATAATTCAATATCTTAATGCTACAAATTAATTATACTTATACAAAATACTAATTGCCCCCGGCCATAAGCCCTTTGCGCTAATTTGGCGTAAACAGCCACCAAAACTGGTCATTGGGACAATAGTGCATCTGCACCTCAGCGGTGTTTTGTCAAATTTTAAATTTTTTCTTCATCTACATCTACAGCACTTCTCACACCAACACGCTCGCCCCCCTTCCCTAGACCCACATACTGCAGACTCGCGGCAGAGGCAGAGGCAGCGATCGCACACAAAAAAAAAAAAAACAAATATAAGCTGCGGGACGGGGTGGGTTAAAAGTCGCACAAGCAGGGGCAGGGGCAGAAGCCGAGTGAAGCAGAAGCAGAGTGTGAATGAGAGAATGTGAAAGAACAACAAAAGCTGCGGGACAGGGTGGGTTTAGCCACTGCAAATGAATTTCTTCATTCTGGCTATAATAATGATCCGATTGGATCCCAATTTGGTGATCTGATAGATATGACCATTCCCTACGGAATGGCGTTTTTAGTTTTCTTTTATCTTCAAAATTGTAGATTTGGGAGTTTTTCGCCCTTTTTCGGGGGAGGAAGGGGGCGTGGCTCATTTTGGAAATACACTGGTTTCAGTGTGAGCATACAGCAGTCTAGAGCCAAAATTTGGTGGCTCTAGCTCTTATATTCTCTGAGAACTAGCCGACAAACAAGACGGACAGACGGACAGACAGGCAAGGCTCTATCGACTCGTCTATTGATGCTGATCAATAATATATATACTTTATGGGGTCGGAAACGTTTCCTTCTGTGCGTTACATACAACCGTTATTCCCCACAAATACAATATACCCTATTTACTCTTCGAGTACCGGGTATAAAAACACGAAATGTTCTTGTTTTTCGAGAGATGGGAGAATCTGATTAACATAAACCCTCCTCAAGCGTACGCCACTGAACACACAAAAACACAAACGCACACATGCACGTGAACAGTGTGTATGACAAAATTCAAGCGAACAGTCGATGAGGTCATCAATCACATGCAACAACTGCGAGGGAGGGCAGAGGAGCGAATGTGTGGAGAGAGGAGCTTGAGTAAGCCAATCCTCTGATGAGAAGAACATACGCCCTATTCAGTCCATTCAATTCTTTAAAAATCTCCCGTTTCGCGACAAATGGGGCTCCGGACTCACCAGAACTTTGGCGAACCGCCGATCCAACTCATCTGTGGTGGGCATCGGCTGCTGGCTACGACTCCGCACGCTCGGCTGCCGGATGTGATGGTACTCGGCGCTGGAGCCGATGTCGTAGCGCAGGTCTTGCTTCTGCAGCGTGCCTCCCCCGGATGCAGGACCGTTGTGATTGTGGTGTCCATTGCGCAGCATCGAGTGGGAGCTGTGCTGTGGATGGTGCTGCTGATCATCTGCTTCCACATCGGCAGTGGTGATGTTGCGGGACTTGACTGCACCCATTATTGTGGCAAAGCGACTGCTGCCGCCTGCTGTTGCTGACGCTGCGCCGCCACCTCCGCCTGGTCCGGCCCCTCTGCCTGGTCCTGCTCCTGCGCCACCGTCGTCGCCGGCTTCGATGCTCGCTGCCGTGAGCGCTGTGCTAAGGGATAGGGAAAGGGTCCCCCATACAGTGCGACAGAGTGCGCGGGTGCGTTCGGGGCAACTTGAAAGTTGCTCTTTGATTTCGTTGAAGATATCCAAAGTGGCTGCCTTTTGTTCTTGTGATTGCTCCTCCTCCTCCTGTTGCTACTGGCTGCTGCTGCTGTTTGGGCCTGCGACTTATTTTTTTGTGGGAACCGAACGATTGAAATTTAAAAACTGTTGACTAGTTTAATTTAATTTTTCTAATATAATAAACTTGCTTTGATATTTACATTTAATTTATTTTTGACAATCTAAGCAAAACCACAATTTATTGCTGCTGCAGCGGCGTCGGCGGCTGCTGCTGCTGACAAATCCACACACACACACAATACAGACAAAGCCAGATTTTTATGAAGACTCCTTCAGCAGGCGGCGACGCCTTTTGTGCTTTGTTCGCGACACGCTTCGCTTTCGTTTTAAGTGAATGTCTCTACGCGAGTTATAAACCTTAAAAACCTTATTACTTGCATTCCAATTTCTCGAAAAGTGTTAACTAAATGCCACTGCAATTTTAAGCACTTTTGACTGAACGCGCGACCGTCTGCATTTGACACCAACACGCACACACTCACGAAAAACCAACACGGCTCCCAACTGCTGTTATTTTGATTCGTGATACTAATTTTTCACTCGCTCTAAACTTTGACTCTTTTCAATTTGTTTAACCAATAATACTACAAATATGCAATACGTGTGGTTCGACAATATAAAAATTTGTTGTTCGTTGTTCGAATTCAAGACATACAGTGTGACCGCGGACTAGGCGATCAAATATACCGCCTGAGCCGCAGAAAGACACCGAATATACCTTTTCACTTCCAAAATATACCGATGAAAAGTATACTTCCAAAGTTTGATATCTGATTTAAATTTGCAAGCTGGTAAGGATCTATGAATGAATATTCGAAAAGATTGGTTAAATTTAAGGTTTATTTTGGCAGTCCTAGTTTATAAATGATGGTTTAAGTAAAAAAGCGAATCAAAAATGATAGTTGATGTACATGGTTACTACACGGTAACTACACATTTGCTACATATCAACGACTTATTTGAGAAGTATGGACATTTTTTATTTCATATTTTCTTTAATTTATGTTATAACTCGTTGAAACTTAAGCATTAATACATTTTCAGACTGACATTTTTCTTACCTATTCATAAATTGAATTATAATTCTATATTCATATTCTCGATACGACAGTCTGCATTTGGCTGAGAAAGCTTTTCAATTTTCAGAAATCTAAAGGGGGCAACGACACATGTCGTTGTATGTATGTATGAATCTCCTGGCGACCTAGGTCAAATTATGATATTCACGTTTTTTTCCTACTGGCCCAGGCCCTACAATATGCAGCGCCTAAAGGGATAGCCGAGAGTTCAGACTCCGGGGTCCGCGGAATTTGTTTTGCTTTTTCTCTTTTCAATAATATATTTTTTTACGCTCACTAAAGAAATCTTTATCGTAAGCCCATTGTGGCAGTTTGTCTGCAGGGATGGAATCAAGTAAGAGAGTGCAAACTTTTGTTATACCTGATAATCGTAGAGTAAATTCGGTAAATTGTATTTGAAATGGAAAATGGATGTACATATGTATGTACATACATGCATACATATTTACATATGTAACGCACAGGCAACATTTCCGACACCACAAAGAATATATATTCATGATCAGCATTAAAAGCCGAGTCTCTTTCTGTTCTACTCAGAGACTATAAGAGCTGAAGCCAACAAATTTAGCATCCAGATAGCTGGGATATCACACTAACACAGTTTAGGTTAGTTTATGTTAAGGCGGTAGCTGGGGAAGAGAAAAAACTCTGAGAAAGTGTTTATTTAGGGCTGTCCTATCCTGTGGCTTGGATGTACTTGGACAAAATCCCCGGTTGGTCTCGGACAAAGTGGTGGACCGACTCCTCCTCTTCCTCGTCTCGACAACTTCTGCAGAAGTCTTTATGGGGTGTTGGCAGTCTCGAGGCGGGTGTACCGATCTGCCAGTGTCCCGTGATGGCTCTGCTGAGCCTATACGGCCCTTCCGAGCGTTTTTTCGATCGGCATGGCAATATACATAGATCGTGCGATCCTGCAGGCGAAAGTTTGCTGCCAACGCCTCTCTGCTTTACGCTCTGCTTTTCGTGCGCTTGGAGCCTGCACGCTGCCAAGGGTATCGCTACTTGTTCCCCCCGGAGAGATAGGATAGTGATATATAGATAGATAGGAAAGTGCCTTGCCTGGCTAGTTCGTCGGCGGTTACACACAGTCTCTGAATTGGACGAAGTTGAGCCTAGTGCTTTGATCGCTGCCTGGCTGTCTGAGAAGGTACACACTGAGTGTCTGTCTAGGGAAATAGACCATGGAGATGGCCTCTTGTGTTACCAGGACGCCTGCTTGGAACACGCTACCGTGGTCCGGAAGCCTAAAGCAGTGTCTGATGACAAGTGTATTTGGAAGTTTCGACCCGCCCCCACAAAGTTGGAAAATCTCCCATATCCACAATTATTAAGTTTAAAGAAAAGTAACGTAACGAGTAAGAATGTTTGTGAGACGCTTCGTAGGCCTCACAGCTTTTACAAATCATAATTTTTGCATTTGAAAGCCCAACATTTTCCAGACGGTAAGCTAAAACCACAAATTGTTTGGGTCTATATTATAAATACATAAATATATACATATTGCATATATATGCAATGAATTTTGAATTTTGAAAATCTAAAAACGCCATTCTGTAGGGAATGACCATTTCTATCAGATCACCGAATTGGGATCAGATTGGATCATTATTATAGCGAGAATTAAGAAATTAATTTGCAGTTGCCCTTTCACTACCGGGCATAAAAGTTGTGACGCGTAGGAAGCGTCTCACACGTTCTTCCTCGTTTTCATTGTTTTATGTCGCGTGCTTCATAGTGAGCTCTTCAAGTAATTTGTATTCTATTGGTTATACTAGAAAAGCAAGAAATTGTATAGTAAAATAAAGGATGTGATATTAGAAAAGATTGCAGTCGACTACCGGATAAGGGCATTATAGAGCACTATAGGGCGTTCAAGAAAAGTGAACCTTTAACTTTGCATACATGGTGGTGTGGAAAAGAGTTACAAAGATAAGTACAGCACACTCTTACAAATCTCCTTTCCAACAAAACAGCGAGCGAAGCCGCCGGTAGCTAGATAGTAGTCCCATAAACATACAACATACTGCAATACTAATGTTTACTCTTTGCAACTGTAAAATTATCTCAAGATTTGGTTTGACATTGTTTAAATATTTCATTACATTACATTAACTATAATTATATATTGGGAATCAAATCACTTTGCAAACCTCAATCATCATCCTCATCATCCTCATCATCACTTATATAACCTTCTTCGTATGCGAATTTGAAACAACGAATATTGCTCTTGGTTCTGAAGCCAACTCCGCGGTTTTGGCGTTTAGTGGTTCCCGGCGTCAAAGTCGACTGCAGTGCCTTATTCGGGGTCTCCAGGTCTTCACTATCATCTATTCTTGAATAATATTTTTACGGATCCTAATATTTTTTACTTTTTCACTTACTCTTATCGTGCGACGTCTGCTGCACCGGACTTATGATGGAAATGTTTCCAAAGCCTTCCCAACCATTTTCGGACGGCTTGTTGGATCTCCTTTGAGTGGACGTGGTCAGAGCTAGCTGCCTGGCCCTTGTCCTGGTTCCACTGAACGGCGTATTGGGTGACAGCTCCATGCACACCACCTGAATCAACTCAACTCTGAGTTTGGGCAGATTGCGCACGTGTCTCTGCAGGTTTCCCCTGGTGATGATGTTCTTAGCCTTCATTCTAATTGAAATCGGAGTGTCAGGCCTGTGTTTGATAGCAGTCCCTTTCGTCTGCTCTTGGGTTTTCTTTAACTTGCCCGCAGCTCCTCCATTTCCTCTAATGGGTTTGGCTAGTGCCCTCTTTTGAGAACTTGTGACGTGGGGTTCAACAGCGGCAGCCTGCAACTTAGTTTTTGATATTTCGGTTACTTTACTTATGAAAGTCTTCCCTGTTGTTCCTCCACATTTCACAGCTTGCGGCTGAGACTGAGGCTGGGGTTTATTGACAAGCCCGAATGATTGATTTTTTGGAGGCCCGAAGACCGGAGCATTCTCTTTCTGGATGTTCGGTGGCGGTGTGAATATTTCGCTGCTATAAGCAAATTTAGAAACCTGTGAAGGCACCGAGTGCACCTGATGACCACGACGAGAAGTTTGTTTTTCTATTGTTTGATCCTTTTTGGATGCCCTAAATTTTAAAAAGCGCTTTAAGAAGAGCTCCTTGGGTGTCGATTTATTCGCCTGCGGAGTAACGACGTTCGGTTTAGTGGTCTCGTTCTCGAAGAGAGTGGGACAAACACCATTTATGCGGTTGCTCTGAAAGTTGTCTTGGCGTTGCATGGTACGCGCCACCTTCTGCTTATCTATATTTTTACCCCTGAAACTTCGAAAAGGTTGCTTTTTATGTAATTCTTTGTAATAGCGTTCCATTGTTCCAGTTAATCCAGAAATTAGTTTTTATAAAAATAAAAAATAATAAAAAAGTTTTGGACAGATGGCGCCGCTTTGTACTAGAGCTGAACAAGAAACGATAGAACTATCGATGGTAATGTGAACGAAAGCACTAACCAAATATACTATTACAATATATAGTATATATACTATTTGGTTAGTGACATAAGCATATATTTAAAAAATATCATATCTGTGATTTATATATTTTTGTTGAATATCAAAATAATATAAAATATATCAATGCAAAAATATTGAAATATTTGATATGTTTTGTGTTTTTGTTTTGTGTGTATTTCCTGAAATTAAATTTCGCTCGCAGCGGATATATGAAAATAGTTCCCAATAAGAAAACAGAAACTTTACATACAGCTGTGAAAAAAATAAGAGCACCACCACCACAAGCAATTTTCAAATAGTGGCCCAACTCACATTTTTAACTTTAAGCACATTTTTGGAAAGGATAGACTCTTACGAATCTGGGAACAGAAAAAAATCATCTGTTTTTCTAAGGATTTTAAGTTATTTAAGAAACTTTAGCGAAACTGGTAAAATTAGCCGAAAAAAATAATAGCACCACTTTGGAAAATTGGATTTCTGGACGTTGATACCAAGCCAAAGCCTGTTACGCGCGGCAGAACCAGCAGAACGCAGCCCTCCTCCCACCCAACCGACCGCGCCGCATGACGCTCGGCGCGATTAACCGAACCGGTCGCTGGAGATATAAGTGATTTGCAGAGATGCTGCAAGTGCGGAGTTAAAAGTTTCTCGAACATTTTAGGAATAGCGGATAACTTAGATATACCTCTATAGTTTTTGGCGTCAGACTTGCTACCTTTCTTATGGAGAGGAATTATAAAGGATTCCTTCCAGATGGGGGGAAAGCTAGAAGAATGGATAGATAGAGTGAATAGTTTAAGCAAAGGTCCGCACAGAGACTCGGCACAGTGCCTGAATACAGAGCCGGGAACTCCGTCAGGGCCCGGTGAAAATACCGGCTTAAACAAAGGGCAGAAAATGCCATTCGACCTTGGTAAACTATATGGATACATATGACCTGGGTAGCTTTCCTGAGAATAGGAGGTTTGAAAAAATTGTGCAAAAAGATCGGCGATTGCCTGATCATTGTTTGCCGACATATTCAAAAATGATAGCGAGGATGGATGTGCGGACGTTCTACGCTTACTGTTTACAAAGCTGTAAAACTGTTTAGGGTCCTGTGAAAAATGTATCCAGGAGGTAGTTCCTATAGCAATGAGCATTAAGAACAGTAAAATTTGACCGAGCTATTAAGTAATTAGGAAGAGAAGAGAATTAGAACCAACTTATTGAGATTTTTTAAATAGTCTTGATTTTAGATTCTTTAGACTGGATAACTCTTTGGAGAACCAAGGAGGTTTCGCAGATCTAGTCGGACATGAAAGTGGGACACACGTGTCAAAAATTGTGTCAAGTACATTGTAAAAAATGTTTGTGCCTTCAATGACGTCAGTGCACGAGTACAGAGCGGACCAATCAAAATTTCTAATTAAGTTATTGAGCTTCGTAAACTCGGCTTTACGAAAGCAGCGGACGCGTTCAGATAGCCTACCCGCACGATCCGATACAGTAAGTCCAATATCTATCGACACTTGGAAAGTAGGATGATAGCAGTCTTCAGGTGTAGTGAGCGGGAGTGCTTGTGTTAACAACGCTACGGTCGGATCCGAGACAAAGCACAGATCAAGCAATCGACCCAAGGAGTTTTTTACATGGTTGACTTGAGACAGGGACAGGTCTAATAAGCCATCAATAAACTCATGTCCTGACATGGGCACAAGGTTGTTTGACTCGTTAACCGAAGACCAGACAGTACCTGTCAGGTTGAAATCCCCAAGAACCATTAAATGGTCTTTATCAGATAGCGAGGAAGAAACAGTTTTTAAAGCAGACAAATGCTGCTCGTATATTAGTACATCCGAAGTCGGTGGAATATACGAGCAACTGACATAAATAGACTGGCCGGGAAGAATCAGTCTAACACAGAGGACTATAAAAAGTTCCGACGTAAAGTAAGAATTTACTGCAATCAGAGCCCCTCCTCCACGTCGAGACGAACGATCATTCCTATAAATTGTGTACCGATCTGCCAAAACTTCGGAACTAAGAATGTCCGGCTTTAACCAGGTTTCGGTAAACACAATAACATGGGATGAAAATGTGAAACTATCCATAAAAAGAGTGCTCAGCTTACTATGTAAGCCGCGAGCATTTTGATAGGATTTAAAATTTAAAAAATTACCAACAAGTAACGAATTTCTTAGTTAACACTTTTGAACTATTAATTCTTAATCTATATTTATAATTTTGTCTGGACGTTGATATGCAATGACTGCACCATCAAGTGGCCCATGCGACACCAAGCCAAATCCTGTTACGCGCGGAACCCAGCAGAACGCAGCCCTCCTCACGCCCAACCGACCGAGGGGCGCTGCCGCTTGACGCGCGGTTAACCGAACCGGTCGCGAGCATCCAGGAAAGATAGATGTTAGGCTAATATTCGAGGAAAATTAGAACTAAACACAACTAAACTAGGGCAAGTGTAGCTAAGCAAGCAAAACTATCAACGTCAGAAACAAGACAGAGCTAAAATGAAACTAGCTACAGGAGAGGTACGCTAGTATAAGAGATTTAAGAAGAGGAAGGGAGTTAGTCGAGGATATAATGTGGTAGAGGGAATTATAATCCGAGCATAAGACCCTAGCGGGTTCGTGCAAGGCATAATTCGATCTACATAGTGGAAGGAACAAAGGAATAAAGTTTCTAGTGGGTCTAATGGGAATCGTAAAGTTTATGCGACTCAGCAAGTAAGGGCTGTCTACATCCCCCTCGATCAAGTTGTGCATAAAAATTACACCAAGCATTTTTCTACGACTAACTAAGGATGGAAGATTTATTAAAAGAAGTCTACTACGGTAGGATGGCAGTCTCACATTTGCATCCCAGTTGAGGCCCCGTAGGGCAAATAATAAAAAGTGTTTCTGTACTGATTCAATACGGTCCTGATGTATGTTGTACTGAGGGCACCATACACATGAGCCGTATTCTAAAATCGGACGAACAAGCGAGATATAGAGAATCTTCGTTATATAGGGGTCATCAAATTCCTTTGACCACCTCTTTATAAACCCAAGCACACCCATGGCTTTATTTACCATGGTAGAAATGTGTTCAGAAAACTTTAACTTTGGGTCTAGTTTAACACCTAGATCATCAACCAATGTAATTCTCTCAAGAGAACTACCGCAGAGGGTGTAAGGAGCCAGGAAGGGGCTGGAGCGATAAAAAGGCATTACATTGCACTTCGGGGCATTAAGTTGTAACATATTTGCACAGCACCATGACTGAAAGCTATTGAGATCAGATTACAAGCGAGAGTGAAATGAAATGTCCTTATACTGGACACAGAGTTTAACATCATCCGCATACATAAGTACCCGAGAATTTGTTAATACAGAAGGCAGGTCATTAATAAAGAGTGTCAAAAGTAAGGGGTCTAAATGGCTCCAGGACTCTTAAATTTGTTCTCAAAGTGATCCTACATTGGTTGGTTTGGAAGCAGCAACTGCCTTTTGGATGGCGGACCACAAATTTTCCATTGGTTTCATGTCAGGGGACTGTGCTGGCCACTCTAACACGTTCAGTGTTGGCCCCGAACCTTTGCTTTGCTTTCATGCTTGGGTTATTTACCGGTTGAAAGACCCATTCTAGAGGCATTTCATATTCTGCAAACGGTAGCATTACAGTCTCCATGATATCCACGCACACGTGCTGATCCTTGATGATTTTTATTCAATATATTGAACCTACTCCATAGTAAGAGAAGCAGGCCCATAGCATTAAATTAAACGTTTTATTTTTAATGGTTTTCTTTGGTGTACTGGCGTTCCTTGGACGTCTTAAGTATGATCGAGATCCCTTTTCAGTAAATAAAACACTTTTTACTCATCGGATATGTATGATCGAGATCACTCATCTGAAATTAAAATTTTCCTCCATTATAGGGATGTCCAACTGGCATGCTCCCTTGCAAACATCATGTGCTTAGTAATATGTCTGGCGTTTAAAAGTTACAGTTTTTTTTGGCAGCAGGCCTTTAGGCTATGTTGTCTAAGATATATCCAAACTTTCTAGCCCGTCGCTTTCATTTTAAGCTTTTTTTTAAGCTCGATAGCAGGCTTGAAGGGGACCTTCTTGCTCTCACAAATCAGCCTTTTGACACTAAAAGGGGTCATAGACCGTTTTCATCCACGTGTTTTACACTTTTCTTCATAGTTTAAGGCGTTTTTTACTTTTGGCCTAGAATAAAATATTTTGTAGTGGTTCTCTTAATTTTTTCGCAACTGTATGTTTACAAAATCTTTAATTCTTATTTTTCTGTATACTCTAAATGTTCTTAGCTCTATATAAGTATTAAGTAAAGCCTAGTACTCAGATCGAACAAAGGGGCCGCTAATAAAGTCCGGGATCATATATGTATGGAACCGATAAGAAATTTTTTTTTTTTTTTTTTTTGAGGTTTTAAGTTACCGCTCTACCCTTAGGTAGAGGGGAATTATTTGGCCACCCGCCTTTCAAGGGGGAAATCGCCACGTCGTAATATGTAACTTGTTACAGGTTTGCTCCAATACTTACCTGGCGTAGAGGTTATGTTCCCCACGTGCTTGCAGTGTGCCCAGACACACGCTTCTTAAGAAAGAAATTTTTGTGCGCACAAGTTAATTTCTAGCGGCTTTACGCCAGGCAGTACTAATCTAGAAAGTCAGACGATAGTATTTTCTGGAATCGATAGTATTTGTGTGTTACTCATAGTATTTGTGTGGTATTCGTTGGTATGTTGCTAGCAGCTCGAAAAATAAAGATGTTTTCATTTCCGAGAGCGTACCTAGCAAACAGAGAGTGTAGTCTCAATCAAATGGAGGCAACAATGCCACTGAAGTTGAAAGATTGGTCATGCTCCTAAACGAGCCTAAGGCCATCAAACGGCAAAAAGGAAACAATTATTTCAGATGAATGAGATTATATTGAATTTATT